TTAACTGAAAATTAATATTTTTATTATAAAATAATATGTTGAGAAAATATAAAAACATTTTGTATTAATAATGTTGAATAACCAAGTAAAAAATTAAGGAATATTATATATTATTAATGTCGAATAAAAACCTACACCAAGTAGATTATAAATTTACACAATATATAACATAAAATATAAATTATATATTTAAAACATTTACGTTAATATTTAATATTTTTTTTAAATGAAAAATATGCCCGCACGAACGTGCGGGTAAAAACTCTAGTTAATCTTATACTCATCGTTTGAATAGTTGTTAAATGATTAGTTTTTGTGTTGTTTATATTAAGGAAGGCTCCTATACAAAACTTAACATTAATTAATATAAATGATTATAATATACTTGTTGATATATATGATCAAGTTTTGATAACTAGGCGTATATAATTTTTATTAGAAGTTTTACAGTTTCAAAAAAAGTACACTGTTAAGAGCAAGATTATTGGAGTTTCTCTTTTTAGTGTTGTTAAAAATGGATTTAATTAAATCAAAACAAAAACAAAAACAAAAACAAGTTCCTTTGATTATTCTCTTGAAGTTGAACCCGACGGGGAAGCGGATGTCTTTGTTGGCTGAGGCACAGAGGGTTAAGGCTAATAGACAAGTGTTTAATGTCGAGTTTAGTTATCAATGGAAGGAGATAACAAGATGAGCTTGGCACGGAGGAAGAATTGAATTGGATTCAGGTTTCTAACACTAAGAAGCCATTGTTCAATCTCTCCAAGGTACAAAAACGATTTAAATCTATGGATTCGCTATTGATTTATGTATCCATGGGGTTTGTTACCCGAGCTATGATTCTATCTTCTACAGACATTATTATTATTATTAGTTATTCTTGTGTTTGGTAATATTTTGAAACTGTGTATGTCTTGTTAAGTTGTCTTGTTTTTTTCCACAGATGTCGAGTTGTCTGCACTTGGAATATGGGTAAAATATTATCTGCTCCTCTCTTTGTGATGTTTTATGTATTATATCAAGATTTAATGTATGGTTTTAAAGGTAATATTGTAACTGAGTTGATATAGCGCTGGCCAAGTTTGATGAGTTAATGGCTGCAGCCAATGAAGACAAGGATTTGTATTAACAGCATTTGGCATTGGTATGATCGGTGGCGACGTCATCAAACCATATGCTGAGCTCAAATTCGACTTTTTTGCGCATTTTCAGAATTTGGAGCTCCGGCAAGCAGTTGCTGTGGTGGTGGTACAGCACCATACACCTTGCTTGAGGATACCCTACAAGTTTTTGTAAGTGTCACACACTACACTATCTACCTTGACCGTCTGAGAACCAACCAACCCGACATGTGAGTTTGTTTTCTGTTTCATCATCTCCTCAATCATAACTGCTGCACGATCAACTGCTAAAATTAACAAATGAAAAACCAGACCAAAAAAAAAAAGAAAACAGAAGCAACTTTAGTCACAGTAAAGCACAAATCGTCATCTTATTAGTCTAGGCCTTTCAAGCCCCCGTGATTAGTGTCTGTTGAGCTAAAAAGATATAATATACATATGGGCAGCAGCAGATATATAATGGCTTTTCACCATCAGGAAGTGCATTTAATTTGGAGGACGATACTTTCCCCTACAAGAAATAAAATTCATCAATCCAATTTAGAAAAGAAAACTAAATTTATGTGCGTTAGATGTTGGACAAACCTAGTAATCACCACAGCACCAGTAGATCTCTGAATCTGCAAAACGAATAGACACTGAAAACACGACAAGGAATAATTGTGTCTTATATAATGCACAGAAACACATGCTTACCTCTTCTTGAGTTGAGACTTGAGCGTTTATAGTAAGTTTGTGCCTAAGAGAAGCCTCAGTATCATTAATAACGATTTCTCTAGCTATGGTCAACTCATCCTGGATGGACACATGCCACCACAAAATAAATACAATGAGTCATCATGTTAGCATTACAGAATAACAGGATAAAGAAAAGAGAGAAATATCCACAAACAACAGCTCGTTCAGCAGTACAGTACATATGTAATAATGTTAAATGTCACAACACACAGTAACCATATTTGGGGTGATTGTGGAATCACATACCGTAACAGATAAAAACTGTACCAACCGCAGGGTCAAACTACTAATAACGAGAAAAAAAAAACTACCTATAACCGGATACCAGATAAACAACATGATGACATCATCTCTGCAATAGCTAATAAATAGAGAAACTAAGAGAAGAGTTGAACCCCAAAAGAGAGTAAGAGTTTGCATGCAGTCCTCTAACGAAATCTATAAACCGGATACCAAATTAACAAGACACTAGGGTATATTTTTATTTTATATTTTTTTAGAAATTTAATTTTTATATTTTTATTTTTTTTGTAGATTTGTAAATTTCATTATTGTCATATTTGTGCAAATTGTTTTTTAAATGATTAGTAAGTGGTTTTGATAATTGTATTAAATTTATAATGTTGCATAATTATATACTTTTACCATAGTCATTTCACACATTAATTTTATACTTTATTTCAAAAAAGTTATTTAAAAAAATAATAAAGTATAATTTCAGTTTTGTTTAGTAATCCAATATTAACTAAATAGATAAAATTATGGGACATTACCTAAACTAACACTTTCTTAGTACCCTATTTCACTTTTACCTTAACCACATTTATCTATAACCATATGATTAACTATTCCTAGATCTTTTTGTTTAGATTTGAAGAGATTTTAGAGTACAGTGTTTAAAATTTTAATAAAAATATAAATCAATATTTAAAATTAAAATAAAAAAATTAAAATAGTTTCAAAATTATTTTCGAATTTGAAAAAGAATATCTGGAAAATTATAAAAAATTCAAAAATATAAAATTTCGAATTTGAAAAGTTATAATTCGAAAATTAAAAATATATTTTTATTTTTTTTATTTTTTTAGAAAATACATTAATTTTGTACTTTATTTCTAAAAAGTTATTTAAAAAATACCAAAGTGTAATTTCAATTTTGTTTAGTAATCAAACATTAATTAAATAGATAAAATTATGGGATATTGCCTAAATTAATACTTTCTTAGACACTTATAACCATATGATTAGCTATTTTTAGATCTTTTTGTTTAGATTTGAAGAGGTTTTAGAGTAAAATGTTTAAATTTTTAATAAAAATATAAATCAATATTTAAAATTAAAATAAAAATAGTTTCAAAAAGTATTTTCGAATTTTAAAAAGAATATCTGGAAAAATTATAAAAAATTCAAAATATAAAAATTTAGAATCTTAAAAGTGATAATTCGAAAATTAAAAATATCTTTTATTTATTTTTTATTTTTAAAAAATTAATTATTTATATTTATAAATCAATGGTATAAATGTCTTTTATTCCTTTAATAAATCTATAGAAGGTAAACATGAATAATAATAATACCAAATGAAAGGTAAAAGTGAAATTTTCCCTAATATTATATGTTTTTCATAAGAAAATATGATTTGATTTTATATATAATGATAATAACGTTTACACATAATACTTTTCATGCAATTAAAATGAGTTTTATCCATTTTAGAATAGATTTTGATTCGCGCTTTCAAATCGTAAGATAATATTTGGTTGAAATATATTTATTTAATAAAAAATATATTTTATATATCTAATATATATATTAATAAATTATATATAGACTATGTTTAAATTTGTGTGTATAGTTTATTTTACTTTTTTTCCTTAAAGATTATTTTTTGGAAATTTTGATTATTCTAACACTTGTTATGAATAATCTGTTTATTTAACTCGCTTATTTAGTGCTATGATTTTATGTTTAATATTTAACATAAATAATATAATTCATTTTTGTTTTCAT